TGCATTTATGCCAAGAGAAAACTTTTGCTACCTAGGCTCGGGGATAGTCATCATAAACTGCTGCCAGTAAGGATACATACTATCGGCAAGGTAGTACCCCATGATGTAATCATGGCCATTGACGGTGTAGTTGCACGACAGAGCATCTCGGCCCATCGCAAGGTCTCTTAAACATCAGAGATCGCTGAAGCACGATATCATTGTGAGACCTTGGCACAAAGAAAGCATGCCAAATCCACAAGTCTTTTGATGCCACTGCTTCAAATATGACATGTTTGATGTGACCTTGGTACTAGTAGAGAAATGCATAAACACATCCTATGCTAGTGGCGTGCCACACACTAGCCACTGGTATTATTCAAAATAAATGTGGCGTGGCCAAAATTGTGGTGTGCTAAAATATGCCCATGCCACTAGTAAGCTAGCCCCAGGGGTGGGACATGGCCCGAGTTACTAGTGGCATGCCAACATATAACAATGGCACTACTGATGTGTTGTTGGTGGTGTGCGAATAGTTTGCATGCCACTGGTATCAGCCAACTCAATTAAAAAAAATGCCGACAAAATTTACTAGTGGCATGTGGATTAGAAGCCACACCACTAGGCCCGACCCAAAACCAAGCCCGACCTAGCCCACTGTCTTCCTCGTCCTTCATTCTGTCTCGCGTCTCTCACCTGACTCTCTCACTAGTGACAATACATTTTCCCAAAGAATATACACTTCTCTTTTTGCGGGATCAAAGAGAACAAACTTTAGCTACGTGATGTTCACTCTAGAAGGTGGAGGTCAGACTGACCGACATTACTATAAGAGAAATGGTAATTGGATTCCGATTCTTTGCCCTTAAATCACGTATCACAGGAGCTATGCATGGATGTCAATTAGCGAGCAATATGCATGTGTAATAACTTGTCCACCAATGATTTGAGCGTGGGTAACTCATCAACATCTCCCGCATGCTCTTGGAAGCACAGTACTGAGACTAGCATGAGCCGTTGCCTGCAACTAGTGCGTGTGTGGAAGAGAATGGACACTCGTGCATCATGTGCCACCTGCAGGCTGCAGCTAATGCTTGTGTGGATGAGAATGGCTCCAGACAGTGAACGTACGGGTCGACGGACACCCACAGAAAGAAAGGAAACAAAAAAAAAACAGAAGAAAGCATTGAAAAGCAAGAAAGAAAAAACCGAAGAAAAGAAAAGAAGAAATATGTGTAAAAGACAGCTCTTTTCCTTCTAGTAGGTCGCATCCTACATATTGTACACGGACTCGATGTTGGCGCAGTGGCTAACAGTGCTACCAAGCAACGAGGAGATCCCAAAACCGGTCCCTCGCGCGCACCTATTTTTAACTAATTTTCTGAAAATATGCGCTAGTGGGCCAGCCCGATTATCTAGCACTCGATGAGAGAGGTCCTTCTGCCTCGCTGAATGTGGGTATAGCACTCGTGCAATTTCAGAGTAAAATAAGAAATTCTGATACGATGCTAAAATACCTCCAGGAAGCCTGAAGTGTGCCTTAGAAAAAAAATAAGCAACCTAATGTGGGCCCTCTAGGGAGCAAGGATTGATGACTAGCGTCCTTCTCTAGCCGGACTGTGCTAAAAAATCAACAATAGTTAATTCAGACGTAAATACCATTCAGGGGATAAGTTCAAATATAGAACTAATGGTTTCCTACATGAATCCAGATATGCTTCACAAGATCATTGAGTAATTACACATGCGGTTATTAATGTCGAAATTTTTGATGCATCTATAGAAAGATGACGATATGCTCTGGATTTTCTTTTAGGAGGCGAACATGTATAAAATATCAGAGGTATGGCGAGCATCGTCAGCCTCATCCTTTACATTTATGTTATGCATGATCATACAACAAGCCATCACTGTCCACAGCATCTCAAGATCCCATATATTTGCAGCTCTACGAACAATACCCCAACGAAGTTGGAGCACTCGAAATGCCAATCGCAAAGTCTCTTTAACAACGGAGATCGCTGAAGCATGTTAATATCATTGTGAGACCCTGGCATGCCAAATCCATAAGTCATGTGGCGTGGCTTCTAGTCCGCATGCCACTAGTACATTTTTTCTCAAAGAGTACACACATTTTTATTGGCGGGATCAAACAAACAAACTTTAGATATGTAACGCTCACTCTAGAAGGTGGAGGTCGGAATGATCGACAGACGGCAACACTATAAGAGAAAGGGTAATTGGATTCCGATTCTTTGCCCTTAAATCACGTATCACACGTGCTATGCATGGATGTCAATTAGCGAGCGATATGCATGTGTAATAACCAGTCAATTAACCAATGGTTTGAGCGTTGGTCACTCGCCAACATCTCCCGCATGCTCATGGAAGCACAGTACCGAGACTAGCATGAGCCGTTGCCTGCAGCTAGTGCGTGTGTGGAAGAGAATGGATCCGGACACTCGTGCATCATGTGCTACATACCTGCAGCTAGTGCGTGTGTGGATGAGAATAGATCCGGACAGTGAACGTACGGGTCGACGGACACTCACAGAAACCCGGACAGCCTCAGTGCAAAATTCCAAAGCAAGACCGAACTGGCGTCGGTACCAATTTTTGGCATGGCCAAGGCAGCAGCCAGGAGCCGTCGCCTCGCTTGGCTCCCATGAAAATGATGTGAGAATTCTTTTTCTCGGAAGCAGTTTTCTATTTATATATATGTTTGATGAATTGTATTTTGCAAAAGAGTCTATCTTTAGTCTACTGTGAACTTTTTTGTTATTGTTTGGTAATGCTACGAGTAAGTTCTTGTTGTTTGTTTCTACTGTGAACTTTTTTGTAAGTTATTGCTGGCAGGTTTTCATTTCATTAATTTCACTTCATTTCATCAGTTCAACAACAACAAAGATAGAAAGATAAATATATTGCTGAATTGCACAGGGCAAGGTTCTATAGTAATTACACTTTTTGGCATAAACTACAAATTAGTCTAGCGGCATATGGAGGACAGATCGCAGAACGCGATGATAATCAAGCAAGTTAAAGAGCTTCTTGGCGAAAGGGAGTGTTCTATTACTCATGTAAGCAGGCATCTAGCTTCATTTGGACGTGTAGAAGCTAGGACAACAGTTTGGCTTCGTTCGGGCCCTGCTAATGTACATCAACTTTGTTTGGAGGATCTCTCTCCACCTTGAGTAATGAAATCCCTCTTCACCCCGCAAAAAAAAAAAATGTCCAGCGGCAATCTCGATCGTCACTCATCTGAAGGACACTGATAACTGATATGCACAGCTAGCTAGTGGATGAGGCAAGGTTGGCCGTTAGTACCGATTGTAAGGGGCCTCCAACCATATTGTATCGTTCGATCGTGTACTTTCTTATGTTGCTTTATAGAACAGAGCAAAAGCCTTTCAAGAGGAGATGAAGGATTTCTCTCGGATCATAAGGATTTGGTGTGCTTCATACGAGTACAATTGGGTAATTGCGAATTCAAATTGCTAGCTACTCTCTCACGGTACACTAGCAGTTCTCCTATACCACTCCGCATGCATGTTACTAGACCCACTTAGGTTACTCGGTTCGGCACGCCAACTCTTTCCTCCGCCACCATGCGCTAACCGAGGCGATGATGATGTTTTTTTTTTCTGGCATTGGTTTGCTAAGTAT